GATGGGGTGCTGAGTGTACATTAATGAGAAATAAAATGAACTTTTTTATTTTAGCAAATGGCTGCAATGAAACAAAGAGTGAAAAATTTAAAGGGGTCTGAATACTTTCCGTATCCACTGTATGTATATGTTTTGGGGGGTTTGGTTGTGGCAGTAGGTATTAAAAAATGTCTAATTTAAGACAAAATGTACCTTCTTAATTAATCACGGATGATTCATTTTTCATCACATGTTTTCGTTTGTTAAGGTGAAGGCTCATGTGACGACACAGCATTTGTGCTCCAAACAGTTTCCAGTTTCTGGGTCAGTCGACACAAATCAAGTGTCAAATGTTACAGCGAAAATCCAACCTGAAACAAAACAAATACATTTCTGACTCTGTTTTCTTGTTTTCTTGATATCCAAACTGTGCCAATGTCTCATCACATTTACATAATTCCAGCATCTTCAGTGGAGGTTCGTTGGACAATATGTTTCACAAACAGCAACTGTAAACATCAACATCCAACAGAAAGGTGCATTCCTCTCTGGAGCTGCCAGGTAGTACCAACAGTCAACAGTCAAAAAAGGGAGAAATCCATAGTAAAAAAAAGCATATCAGTTACACCAAATTCTCCCTCCCACGGTAGCCTCAATAGACCAGAATGCAATGCAACCACAAGACAGGTTTGCTCTGAATAAGGGACACACTGTCTTAGAGTACTTTTTCTCATTTAGAACAGCTGTCACTCTGTTTTTACCATCTTTTTGTCACGGTCCACCATCATATAAAACCCACAGCTGAAAATAAGTTTATAGCTGTTTTCTGCAGTTGCCAAAAGGCATTCTGGGAATACAGAAAGTCACTAACTGAAGTAGAAACACAATAGATGAGGCAACTTGATCAAAAAAGTAAAGTTACAACCAAGAGAGCCTTTGTCTCTTTTGAATCGGAGGTTTCCATGTTGACCAATGTGTCTTTGTGACGTGGATTAGCACAACATATTTCATCGACATTCCTCCTTTTTACGTTTCAGACGGTATTTATTTTCACAGTTATTGCTGTAATTATCTGATGTGTTTGTGTGACTGAGATTTTACTGAAGGAAGGACATGTTTAAACCTGCCCATCTCGTCTGTGGCCTCAAAAAAAAAGGTCTTGTGAGGTAACTGCAGCTTTGGTTTCATATATACGCTGCATGTGAGACCTTAAAAGCAATGGCAATGATGTACAGTGTAACAGTCTTTGTCTGCTTTGTTGTCATTGGAAGCCAGGCAGATGTCATTTTTCCACAAGTGTGTATCCTAGTAGGTTCACTTACCACCATTGCTTTGTTCTCATTTATGTTATTGCTTTGGTGATTCGCACATTCAGGATTCAGGCATTTGTTTGGGATAGTATGACAATACAGCATGAATCGGTGTATCTCACATTAAGACTTGTTTACACGCTCTGGTGTCCAAAGTGTTTGAATGCTACAGAAATGCCACTGTGTTTTGTCTGCATAGTCATAAGGAAGTCTCCATGCAGGAGCCATTTCTGTGGAAAGACCTGTGGTTGTGGCAGTTCTCACTGCAGTGGACAATGAGCACTGGGTAGCAGAGTGCGTCGTCATAGTCCGGGGGTCCCTCATCGTCTGTGGTGAGGCGCTCTGATAGACAGCGGGTGTTCTCGCTGGGACTCTCCTGGTCATCCAAGCTGCCACTCCGCCAGAAGCAGCTGCGCTGGGAGCCGTAGCGCCGCGCCAAGGAGAAGCGGCTGCCGCTGAAGGGGATGCGGGAGCTGGCACCGGTGCAGACGCTGAGGGCGCTCCTGGAGAACACAGAGGAGCAGCTGACAGCTCTGTGGCAGCGCTCGCAGTTCTGACGGATCCCGCTGAAGCTGGACGGGCACTGGGCCAGGTCCATCAGACCAGCTTCTGAGTAACTGGGCACCAGTTGCTGGTTGGACCGAATGTGCCATTCCAGTTCCGTGCTGTCAATGGTGTTAACGCGAGGGATGCGGCGCCAATATGGCCGATCATCGCACGGGGTCACAGGGAGGTAATCGTGCCCAAAGAGCTTCTCGACGCGGTAGTGGACGTATGCAGTGTGATACTCAGCGAAAACTCTAAGAGGCCAGGAGAAAGTGAGGAATGAGGCAAACCAGAAGACATAGTGGGACAGATACCAGGGGTGGCGCTCTGGGTCGGACAGCACTATGACGTACTCCTTCAGGTCAATGTTCTTCAGGTGCATGCCCTCCCTGGCCTCCATGTAGTCATCAAGGCCCTCATTGTCAGTGAAAAACCTCGCTCGTTGTGTAAGGTAGGAATTCTCGGACTCTACGTTGGCAAAACTGAAGCACTTGGTGAACCGCATCTTAGTGAGAGCGGATTTCTCCAGGCCCAACAGCTGCTTTGACACATCTTTGACGCCACAGTGACCGTAGTCAAATTCAGCCTCTGCTACGTGGGTGTTGACACGTTCGTGGTACACCTGGGTGCTCGTGTAAGCGTCTCCGTTGCGGTAGCGCGTCACCTGTCGTGTTCGGCGAACGTAGTGGTAGCTGATGGCCTTCCACCAGATGCAGGGTTTGGCCTGCTGCATCCTTTCGATGCGCTCGTAGATGCCCTCCACGTCCACTTTGTGCTGCAGCTCGTTCTTCACGTGACAGTGCCAGCACTCCACGAGGTAGACCAAGTAGAGCATGCCCAGCAGGGCCAAGGGTATGTAGATGTAGCCGTCAGAGCAGGGACTGTCATGGTACATCATGGATTTCCCTTTGAAGGCACTGTCAAAGGTGAGGCGGGTCACCTTGGTGACATGGCACCAGACCATCGCTCCAATGCAGCCGTACATGAGAACGGACAGGAGCAGGCATTTCCAAAAACTCTCCCGGCATAGCGACTTGCTCAGAGATTGCTTCAGGGGTCTTTGCTGTTGAGTCAAAGCACAGACAAAACAAAAGAGGAAGTGATAAATGCATTTAAAAAATGTTATCATACCATGTGTTATCAACCCTAATTTTGCTTGTTGCAGAGTACATCACTGCGGATTGATTGCTGCAACATAAGCACAGATATGGATTTTTGAAAGACTTGGGCTAACATTTAATGAGCGAGGAGTGAAACCACAGCACTAACATCCTTACATTAGAAATTCCCTTTGTGAACACAGTGGATAACAAGAAAGTTCTTTCAGCTCTCCGGACATGTCATGCCATTTTATAGCTAAGTGCCGGAGGTGCTGGCCCAATATACAGCAGATAGTAGTTAAAGGAGATGAAAGACTAAGGTAAAGACCAAACACGTGCCCAATCATAATTACTGTAGTCTACTATTACAGAAATATCTCCCGTCAAACTATCACGTGTGGGACCAAATCCCTGGCAATTAATTCACCTGCAGTGTGTTACGTTCTGCGGCCCCGTTCACATGGATCCATTAATTAAAGCCCTGCGCCAAGATCGAACAAGCAGAACAAAACACAAGAAGGCGTTCGCTCACATGATGGAAATAAAAAGCCCATACCTCCTCCCTGGTGTCCTCCTCGAAAACGGTGGTCGCACTGCTTTCACTCGCTGTCGCAGCCGATGCAGGAGGGGACATGGTGCCGGGCGGTTCTCGATAATAACAAATGATACAGGGCGTGGAAGAAGGAAGGGGAAAGAGATTTCACCACCTTATTCTGCAGAGAGACACCCCCCCCCCCCCCCCCCTTATCCAAGACGAGCTGTACTTGTCGGGCGCGATTTACATCTGTTTCCATTTAGAGCTGCTCCACCCTGAGAAAAAGCAGCACGAGACGAGTCGACGGAGGCATGTTGATCGGTTGAAGCCCCCAAAATAAAGGGATCTTTCCGGTGAAAAAGTACAAAACGGGGGGGGGGGGGGTTATAGTAAAGCCCGCATCCTGCCCTCTACTGTTTAGCTGTCAGTGCTGCAGTAACATGATCGTAGATGAGGCTGTATTAGCTGGTAGTCGTTACAAAATGAAAAAAACTATGCCCTGCCCCTGGGGCCCGCTGCGTCGCCTCTGTCAGGGGGGCTGTGTTAGCGATCTGCAGGGAGCTGTCCGTGGTGCTGACTGAGGCAGGCAGGTGTACAGGGAGATGTTGCATCGATCTGCCCGTTAAAGGGAAAGTGTGCAGTTCCAGTTATGACGAGAAAGCGAAGGTGTCCGTGCAGATATACAGGAGACGATGTTTTATTTTGCTAAGATGGAGATCAGAGCATCGAGACTTGTTGAAGTGTTGATCACGTGATCACTTTTGGAGGCGGCATTGTCAGTGATTTATCGAGGCTTGCTCTTTGACTTTTTCCTTTATGATCATGCGTGCAAATTGATTTTGTTTTGAATGTGAAGCTTATGGGATGCAAGGGCGTAGGTTTGCATAGGTTCCATGGACTAGTCACGACCAAAGTTTGGGAAAGACACAATTGTCCCCACCAATATTTTTTTAATTTTAATTGCCTGTTCGAAAAAATAAGCAGACACTCAGATCTCCGTGGTCAACTCAGCAGACACTGACACTTTAGTGCACCTATATGCTGAAAGTCACGGTAAACGCATTCAAACGACACAGATCGGAGCGAACGAAGGACTTTGAAAGATAGCGGAAAGATTAACGTGAGACAAAATCCGGTTTCTTCAGACGGACATCCGGTTTTCAGAATAAGATGCCAACAAAGTATGAATTATATTCACATTAAGTATAAAACATGCTACCTGCATCTCGTGAGTTAAAGGGAAAATACACCTAAATTGTGGGTAAAGTGTCTTTATTCTTTGATCGCTGGGTAACCATAACTACCTCAGAGTTACAGCATCATATTGATGAACAGTAGAGCTGCATTCACATGCTCTGACTGTCATGGAGACAGACATTCACGCAAACATGCAACTCCCCTTGGGGCTAAGCCCCCCCTTTCTGTGAATCCTAGAAACACCCCTGATATCAACTAGGACTTTTTTAGATGGCGGGGGGGGGGGGGGGGGGGGGGGGGGTGTCGCCACACGAGGCGGACAACAACCCCCCCCCCGGGGGGG